CCTCGATAGTCAATCCAGTACCCCGGCAGTCAGTCCCGTCGGCTCACCTCTCCCATCACACCGCGCCCATTGTCGCACTGTTAGCTGTGAGGTAGGAAGTGGCGGTGGAGGCACTAACGGATCACCTTCACTTTGCCAATCCAGCTCAAATGCAGTCGCATCTATTATCACTACTGTCACCGGTCTTAGCTCGTCTGGTGGAGGAGGCTTTGGGGTCGCTTCTTTAGTCGTGTCTACATCTGGTCCGGTTTCTAGCTGCGCTAATAATACATTAACACTCACAGCAGGGTCGGGAGCTCCACAAACACTGATCAACACTCATAACATTGAAAGTAACACTTCCTTTGCCACCAATACTGACTGTTGCAGCGCTGAAACTACATCTTCACTTTCATCTCATTCGCCATCTTCACTGATTAGGCAGCCGATTTCTTCTACGTCTCCACCGCCTTTGCCCTTGGTAACTCCTGTCACTACTGCAATGCCAATAGCAGTTGCTACTAGCCTATCCATTCAGATGAACGGTGGTCTCATGGTACCATATTCTGGTAGTATCGGCGGACATAGTCAACAGCCAATAGGTTCGGTGGTGGCTGTTTCGAGCCCTGTATCATCGATTCCTTCTGCATCGGCTTCTAAGCCATCATCGCCTCTACTGAACCCCCACTCAATGACATCACACTATTCACCATCACCATATATATCGAGTAAGTAATACTAATTACTCTAATTACATATTTTTCCGATTAAATTTGTCATATAATTTGTCATTTGTCATATATACATGATTTAATTACCTTAAAAATTACGGTCAAACAAAGCATACTTAAGTGCCAACGAAAACCTACCTTTGATCTTTATGCCTCTCTTGATATGCATTTGTGGGGCTGATAAGATTTGATCACCCAAACTTGTTTCTGGCAAAAGGGGTCCCTATCATTAGTTTACCTTAGGTTGCATTAGCAAAACTTTCCTTTGCTACAAGCGGAGAGATACTTCTCCTATCTTAGAAGTTAGATGTGATATGTTGATCTCTCGCACTCTGAGGAGGTTGCTGAGCGGTCGTTTTTCTAGATGGAATGCGTGGATATTTATATATTTATAATAAACTATTCATTATCTCCAGAAATTCATCTAATTTGCCTTTGTTGAGCGTTATCCCATTTCAAGTAAAGGTGTTTGTACCCAAAATTGCTAGCCAACCGTGTTGGTGTTGCATAGAAATGACACACACGAGTTCATGAAGGTAAAACAAACCCTAGGATTACTGAATGATAATTTTTTGGGGAAAAGTATATGGAAGTTGTTTGATCTTGTTTTCGCAACTTGGTCATATTGGTAGGAAGACTTAGAGGAACGCACCTTGTCCAGAGTCCATTTATGCATTATCATTTCCAGAGTGGGACGGTGGACGTGGTACATTCCCAGACGTTTCGCCGGCATCGTCAGTGATTGTCGCCATTCGTAGCACCATATTACAACTCGACAAATAGACAAGTGAAGCCCATCCCTTGACCAACCATGTGCTAAACAATTGTGGTATCTTCCCTTCTGCCCTGGGCTATTCACATTTCCTATATCCTCCTATCATGCCTTCCCTGTCA